ACACTTAAAAACGGTTAAGAGGGCAAATGTTATGTTACATGTATTTTGCCACAATAAGAAATATATAATACATGCTAGAACTAATAATTGACTTTGCAAGGCTACAAGGTACAAGGTTATTAAAATAATACAATTGTTGTTACAAAAAGAACACCTAGGAATACAACTAAGTAGGGATGTGAAAGACCTCTTCAAGGAGAACTAGAAACCACTGCTCAAGGAAATAAAAGAGGACACTAACAAATGGAAAAACCTTCCATGCTCATGGATAGGAAGAATCAATATCATGAAAATGGCCATACTGCACAAAGTAATTTATAGATTCGATGCTATTCCCGTTAAACTACCATTGACATTCTTCACAGAACTAGTAAAAAAAAAAAAACTACTTTAAAATTAATATGGAACCAAATAAGAGCCCATACAGCCAAGACAAGCCTAAGCAAAAAGAATAAAGGTGGAGGTATCATGCTACCCAACTTCAAACTATACTACAAGGCTACAGTAGCCAAAACAGCATGGTACTGGTACAAAAACAGACACATAGACCAATGGAACAGAATAGCGATCTCAGAAATTCTAAGACCACACATCTACAACCATCTGATTTTTGACAAACCTGACAAAAACAGGCAATGGGGAAAGAATGCCCTATTTAATAAATGGTGTTGGGAAAACTGGCTAGCCATATGCAGAAAATTGAAACTGGACCCCTTCCTTACACCTTATACAAAAATTAACTCAAGATGAATTAAAGACGTAGAAGTAAAACCTAAAACTATAAAAAAAAAAACCCGGGCCAGGCGCGGTGGCTCAAGCCTGTAATCCCAGCACTTTGGGAGGCTGAGGCGGGTGGATCATGAGGTCAAGAGATTGAGACCATCCTGGTCAACATGGTGAAACCCCATCTCTACTAAAAAAACAAAAAATTAGCTGGGCATGGTGGTGCGTGCCTGTAATCCCAGCTACTCAGGAGGCTGAGGCAGGAGAATTGCCTGAACCCAGGAGGCGGAGGCTGCGGTGNAAAAAAAAACCTATAAGAAAATCTAGGCAATAACATTCAACACATAGGCACTGGCAAAGATTTCATGACAAAAACATCAAAAGCAGTTGCAACAAAAGCAAAAATTGACAAATGGGATTGAATTAAAGAGCTCTGCACATCAAAAGAAACTATCATCAGAGTTAACAGAAAACCTATAGAATGGGAGAATTTTTTGCGATCTTTCCACCTGACAAAGGTCTAATATCCAGAATCCATAAAGAATTTAAACAAATTTACAAGAACAAAACAACCCCATCAAAAAGTGGGCAAAGCAAATGAACAGACACTTCTGAAAAGAAGACATTTATATGACCAATAAACATATGAAAAAAGCTCAACATCACTTATCAATAGAGAAATGCAAATCAGAACCACATTTTTAATAATGCAAATTATTAATTAATTCAACTATCATAGAAGACCGTGTGGCGAATCCTCAAAGATCTAGAACCAGAAATACCATTTGACCCAGCAATCCCATTACTGGGTATATACCCAGAGGAATATCAATCGTTCTGTTATAAAGACACATATGTTCACTGTAGCACTATTCATAATAGCAAAGACATGGAATCAACCCAAATGCCCATCAGTGATAGACTGGATAAAGAAAATGTGGTACATACACACCATGGAATACTATGCAACCATAAAAAGGAATGAGATAATGTCCTTTGTAGAGACATAAAGCTGGAAGCCATTATCCGCAGGAAACATTGGAAACAGCAAACAACGGAACAGAATATCAAACACCTTATATTCTCACTTATAAACAGGAGCTGAACAATGAGAACACATGGACACAGGGAGGGGAACAATGCACACTGGGGCCTGTGGGAGGAGAGCATCAGGATAAATACCTAATGCATGCAGGGCTTAATACCTAGATGATGGGTTGATAAGTGTAGCAAACCACCATGGCACATGTATACCTATGTAACAAACCTGCACGTCCTGCACTTGTATCCTGGAACTTAAATTAAAAGTAAAAAAATAATTCAGTTACTATATTCTAGAAATGAAAATTGGAAATTTAAAATTACAACAAGGCTGGGAGTGATGGCTCACCCCTGTAATCCCAGTACTTTGGGAAGCTAAGGTGGGAGGATTGCTCGAGCCCAGGAGTTTGAGGTTGCATTTGGTAGAATCAACAAGCAATTATGAAACACGTATTAGAAAAGCCAAGGAGCTAGAACAATTCTGAAAAAGATTATACCTGGAAAACTCACCATCATCTGACTTCAAGACTTATCTATAAAGCTACAGTAAGCAAGACAGTGTGGTATTGTACACAAATCAATATAGCAGGAATATAATCACACATATAAAGTCAATTGATTTTTGATAGACAAAAAAGGAAGGATAGTCACTCCAATAAATGATGCTGGAACAGTTAATCACTTCATCCATTTCTTGCATTATATACAAAAATTAATTCGGATCATATATCTAAATGTAAAATACAAAATTATAAAACTTCTAAAAGGATACATGGGGAGGCCAGGTGCAGCAGCTCACACCTGTAATCCCAGCACTTTGGGAGGCAAAGGAAAGCAGATCACTTGAGGTCAGGAGTTAGAGACCAGCCTGGCCAACATGGTGAAACCCTGTCTCTACTAAAAATAAAAAATTAGCTGGCTGTGGTGGTGCACACCTGCAATCCCAGTTACTCAAGAGGCTGAGGTAGGAGAATGGCTTGAAACCCAGAGGCAGAGCTGCACTCCAGCCTGGGTGATGGAGCAAGACTCCACCTCAAAAAATAAAAAAAATAAAGGCTACATGGAGGAAAAAATATTTGTGACTGTGAGTTAGGCAAAGATTTCTCAGATATCTAAGGCTAAATAATATTCCACTGTATAGGTAACAAATCACCTTCAGTTCACCCAGTCACCTGTTGATGGAAACATGGGGAGAAAATACTTCATCCTTGTAAAAGCTAACTTAATCTGCAGGACAGCTGGTACGTGCACCACACTTGGGGAGACATTCCTATTCCGGACAGAATTTGCTCAGAGGGTGAGCTGGGTGAGGGCTGGAAGTGGGGGCAGATCAGAGTTGGGTAGGTAAGTAGAAGGGTTCCCGGGCCCAACTGAGAGGAGAGGAGTTTCCAAGCTGGAGGCAGCAAGTCCAGCTCCAGCTGGAGCTGCCAGCTCCAGCTCCTGGCATCAAGTTCTGCCAGGATGGTTGTGCATATTCAGGGTGTGGAGCTCTGCAAGAGCCCCATCTCTTCTAAAGGAGAAATCGGGCTAGCGTCCTTAGGACTGACAGACAACATCTGATTGGGGGAGAGGAGCTGGCCAGGTGGCTCTGAACCCCTAAAAGTCTCAGGACAAATTCTCTGTAAGAGTCAGCTGCCTCAAACGTGTTTTGCTTTTTGTTGTTGTTTTTTTTTTCTGAGACAGAGTCTTGCTCTGTTGTCCAGGCTGGAGTGCTGTGGCTCACCGAAACCTCCGCCTCCCAGGTTCAAGCGATTCTCCTGCCTCAGCCTCCGGAGTAGCTGGGATTACAGGTGCCTGCCATCATGCCCGGCTAATTTTTGTACTTTTGGTAGAGACAGGGTTTCACCATGCTGGTCAAGCTGGTCTCAAACTCCTGACCTCGTGATCCACCCGTCTTGGCTTCCCAAAGTGCTAGGATTCCAGGCATGAGCCACCGCGCATGGCCCCTGAAACGTTTCTGAATCTTTCTTCAGATAGATTACACAAGACAATCAAGCAGGAGTGGGAGACTGCTGGTTTTAAAAACAGCACCACTGGTCTGGGGGTGGTGGCTCCCACCTGTAATCTCAGCACTTTGAGAGGCTCAAGTGGGAGGATAGCTTGAGGCCAGGAGTTCCAGACCAGCCTAGGAAACACAAGGAGACCTTGTCTCTATTAAAAAGAAAATAATCTCACAATTTGCTAGCTCTCCCACCTGGGTCCACTTGAAGCGTGATTTTCAAAGTGATTTCGATTTCCTTTCTCCAATAACCCAAACCCACCCCTCTGCTCTGGCCTGTCAACTCCTTCCTCCAGCAACGCCTTCCCCTTCACCAATGAGCCCTCGCTGGACTCCAAGGAGGAAAAGCACGGGTCCAGGCAGACGCCCCTTCCCAGTAAACTAGGACATCGCCCACGCGGAGCCTGCGCGGTGAGCAGAGAGGGCGACAGACACCCGGGGCACGAAGGAAGCCAGAACTCCAGGTGCCTATCCTGAGAGCCCCGTGGAATACGGAGGGCGGTGTCATGCGGCCCAGCTGACCGTGCATTTGGAGAGGCAACCAACCCCATGCTCCTCCAGATGCACCCCAAGGCACACCGGGCCCGTGGAACCCGGGCTCATCCGGGTTCTACCCCAGCTCCCAGCCCAGGGTGTCCCCTGGTGGGGGAGGACGGAGTGTGATATGGGGTGAGGTGGGGTGGCCTGTGGCTGGGGTGCAGGTGGGAGTGGAGATGGGGTGGCAGTGGGGTGGGTGGGGGCGAGTGTGAGGGGATGAAATGTCGGGGTGGAAGTGGGAGTGGGGGGCGGGAAAGGGAATGGGGTGGGGACAGGGGTGAGGGTGTGACTGTGGGGCTGGCAAGGATAAGGAAACGGGTGGGAGGTGGGGCTGGGGTAGGAGTGTGGGTGCGTGGGGGTGGGGGATGGGATGGGAATGTGAGTGTGTGTGTGCGGGGGTGGAGCTGGGTGAGAGTGGGCGTGAGGGGATGTGGGGGTTGTGTGAGGCTCAGCTGGGCGTGGGGCCATGTGTAGTGCTAGGGTGGGGGTGTGGGGTTGATGTTGGGGGGCTATGTGGGGCTGGAGTGGGCGTGGGGGTGCTGGGGTGGGATGCTGTGTGGGGGGCATGTGCGGGGTTGCAGTGGGGGTGGGGGGGCTGGAGTGGGGGGCTGTGTGGGGTTGGGGTGGGTGTTGGGGGACTGGAGTGGGGCATGTGTAGGCTCTGTGGGGGGCTGTGTGGGTCTGGCTTGATGGCACTCACCTTCAGCACCAGGAGCTGGAGCATCTTCCTGGTGCCCGAGGGCAGACGGGCCCCCTCGCCCTGTAAGTCCCATGCTACGGCGGGCGAGGCTGGCTGTGTCCGCCCCCGCCAGGCCCCCGCCACGTCTGCGTTCCTTCCCTCTGCGTTTAGCGCCTCGGGCCCCCAAGGTAGGTGCCCTGCACTCCTCGCCCCCAGGTGCCCTCGCGGACCCCGGGGTCCTCGCCTGCCTGAGGCGACACGCTCCATCCTGGCACTGACACAGCCCCTCGCTCACAGCTCCCGCCTGCCTGGCCTCGGGACTGCCGCACCGACCGGATGCCGGCGCACGCTGAGCAGGCCACGAGGCGTCGGAGACCACGTGGGCCGCCCAACGGCGCAACAACGCTCGGCACAGCGCCACGTGGCGGCTGGGAGGACTGGCACTGGGAGGCGCTGGGAGGCCCGACCCGGGGGTCACATGATGTGTTCCTTTGCAGCCGGCAGGCCACCCAGGCCCTAGGGACACTCCCTTGTCCTCCAGAGGGACGGAGGGGCTGCCTGCGGTTGAGTCTGTTGAAAACCACCTTTGCAAAATTCTAACTGAGGAAATTGTGATGGGGAAAGAAATCAAACCTAACTAACTCCATCTTGCTTCTAACCTTTTTTGAGACGGAGTTTCGCTCTTGTTGCCCAGGCTGGAGTGCAATGGCGCAATCTCCACTCGCCGGAGCCTCTGCCTCCCAGGTTCAAGCAATTCTCCTGCCTCAGCCTCCCGAGTAGCTGGGACTACAGGCATGTGCCACCACACCCAGCTAATTTTGTGTTTTTAGTAGAGACGGGGTTTCTCCATGTTGGTCAGGCTAGTCTCCAACTCCCGACCTCAAGTGATCCACCTGCCTCAGCCTCCCAAAGTGCTGGGATTACAGGCATAAGCCACTGCACCTGGCCTGCTTCTAACCTTTAAGATGTCCTTTTTTATTCCTGGGCGGAGGCCCAACTAACTTTGGGAAGGCAATCAGTCCACGATTTGACTCTGAAACAAAATTGATAAGAGCCTGTGAACCCCAAAGTTTTGAGACAGGTCTCAGTTCATTTAGAAAGTTATTTTGCCAGGAAGGTGAGGTGGCTCAGGACTGTAATCCCAGCACTTTGGGAGGCCGAGGCGGGCAGATCACGAGGTCAAGAGATGGAGACCGTCCTGGCCAACATAGTGAAACCCCGTCTCTACTAAAATACAAAAATTAGCCAGGCATGGTGAAGGGCACCTGTAGTCTCAGCTACTCAGGAGGCTGAGGCAGGAGAATTGCTTGAAGCCAGGACATGGAGGTTGCAGTGAGCTGCATCACTGCACTGCAGCCTGGCACCTGGCAAAAGAGCAAGACTTCGTCTAAAACAAACAAAAAAACCTCTGTCTGTCGAATGCACGGAGAGAGATTTGAGTAACAGTAATAAAAAAAACCTCCAGTCTCCCACACAGCCAGCTCTGCATGAATTACTTTCTCGATTGCAATTCCCTATCTTGATAAATCGGCTCTGTCTAGGCAGTGGGCAAGGTGAACCCATTAGGCGGTTACAAGTTCGTCATTTTATTTTTAAAGAGATAGGGTCTGGCTCTGTTGCCTAGGCTGGAGTGCAGTGGCACAATCATGGCTCACTGCAGCCTCAAACTCCTGGGCTCAGTTGATCCTCCCCAGCTTCACCCTCTCAAATAGCTGGGACTACAGGGATGCACCACTGTGCCTGGATAATTTTTAAATTTTTTTGTAGAGATGCGGGTCTCGCTGTGTGGCCCAGGCTCATCTTGAACTCCTGGGCTCAAGCCATCCTCCTGCCTGAAGCCCCCTGAGTAGCTGAGATTACAGGGACGAACGAGCACACCAGGCCCTCAGCTTGTCCTTGTCACCTGGCAGGGGCCCCCTGTCCTCCTGCTTTCTCTAGGCCGGTCTATACCTTTTTTTTTTGAGACAGAGTTTTGCTCTTGTTGCCCAAGCTGGAGTACAATGGTGTGATCTCAGCTCACCACAACCTCCACCTCCTGGGTTCAAGTGATTCTCCTGCCTCAGCCTCCCAAGTAGCTGGGAGTACAGGCATGCGCCACCACATCCAGCTAATTTTTTTATTTTTAGCAGAGACAGGGTTTCATCATTTGGTCAGGCTGGTTTCGAACTTCTGACCTCGTGATTCGCCTGCCTCGGCCTTCCAAAGTGCTGGGATTACAGACATGAGCCACCATGCCTGGCCCAGCCGGTATCTTTTAAACACTATGAGTTGGAAGACTTGGTGGTGAGGAAGAGTCCTGGTCAGCCACGAATCCCTGGGTCTTCGTGGCCTCCTGGCAACATTTGCATTTGATCTGCACCTTCTGGAAAGGTTCCTGGTCCTGGCTTTCTTCCCAGCTGGCCTTCAGCTAGCAGAGCTCTCCGAGTCTAAATGAGTTAATTTGCTAGTAAGGGAACCAACAAGATGACAAAAGACTGCACGAGTCTGGAGAGAGCATGGAAATTGTGGAGTTACGTATTTTGGGGAACAGAATGCTCACAAAAGCATGCAGTTCTATAAGTAAACTAGATTGCACAAAGTCCGACAGATATGCACTTAATATGTCAGGTAGGATGGTTGGAGAGGTGTGTAGCTGCCAGTTGGATGAAAAATTCACCTGTTCCTTAAATTAGGCTGACAAGGCCTCACCTCCAATCAAGGCACCTGGTACGGCCAACCCACCTGAAATCTCAAGACCTCGCCAAAAAGAGATGGAAAACAACAGGATCTGACTTAAACAGGAGGTACAGGCTGAGCAAGGCGGCTCACGTCTGTAATCCCAGCACTTTGGGAGGCCAAGGCGGGCAGACCACTTGAGGTCAGCAGTTCTAGACCAGCTTGGCAACATGGTGAAACCCTGTTTCTACTAAAAATACAAAAATTAGCCAGGCATGGTGATGCGCACCTGTAATCCCAGCTACTCAGGAGACTGAGGCGGAAGAATCACTTGAACCAAGGAGGCAGAGGTTGCGGTGAGCTGATATCACGTCAGTACACTCCAGCCTGGGCAACAGTGTGAGACTGTCTTAAAAACACACACACACAACACACGAGGGAAACAAGTGGTGTGAAAACTATCTTTTCTATGAAAGAAAACCAGTCATATTACTTTATCATGACATCTTCTAATATCACCCACTGAGCCAGTGAATATCACCCACTGAGCCACCCATGGCATGTCCAGTGAAGAGGGAGTTGGCATGGCACTAACCAGCTGCATGTCTGTTTTCTCACTGGCAAAATCATGGTGTTCACTGAGGTCCCTTCCAGCTGCAACATTCTAGTAATCTTTGAGAGTCAAAAAACAAAGCTAGGCTGGGCATGGTGGCTCATGTCTACAATCCCAGGCACTTCGAGAGGCTGAAGTGGGCAGATCACCTGAGGTCAAGAGTTCACCAGCCTGGCCAACATGGTGAAACTCTCTACTAAAAATACAATACTTAGCCAGGCATGGTGACCTGTGCCTGTAATCCTAGGTACTTGGAAGGCTGAAGCACAAGAATCGCTTGAACCCAGGAGGTAGAGGTTGCAGTGAGCTGAGACTGCACCACTGCACTCCAGCCTGGGCAGCAGAGTAAGACTCTATCGCAAAAAAAAAAAAAAAAAAAATCCAAAAGACAATAATTTTTATAGTTTTTTTTTTTTTTTTTGACAGTGTTTTGCTCTTGTCACCCAGACTGGAGTGCAATCTCAGCTCACTGCAACCGCCACCTCTCAGTTCAAGCGATTCTTCTGCCTCAGCCTCCCAAGTAGCTGAGACCACCATGCCTGGCTAATTTTTTTGTATTATTAGTAAAGATGGGATTTCACCATGCTGGCCAGGCTGGTCTTGAACTCCTGACCTCAGGTGACCTGCCTGTCTCTGCCTCCCAAAGTGCTGGGATTGCAGGCGTGAGCCATTGTGCCCAACCTTTTTTTTTTTTAATGGAACATAATTTCCCATTTTTGTAGATTCAAAAAGCAGACAGAATCATAGTATATGTGGTTCTCAAAATTTGCATATTGGGACCATTTATTGAGGAAAAATAGATTTTACTTTCCATTGGGTGTCTCACCCTTGGTCAGGTAATTTTTTGTTGTGGGTAGTGAGATGTGCGTTGCAGGCTGTTGAACTGCATCCCTGGCCTCCCGCCACTAGATGGCAGTAGCACACTGCCCCACCTCATCTACTCCGTCCCCAGTTTCAACAACCAAAAATGTTTCCAAACATAGCCAAATGTTCCCTAGGGCAAAAGTGCCCAGGCTGAGGCCTGCTGCTCTAGATGTAGTTCTCTAATCAGGATTAAATAATGTACATAAACTTTATTCATCATTGTCTTTATGTTGTAGTAGGAAAATTAAGGCATTTCATGAAAAATGAGATCAGTTGTACTAATACAGCCAAAGGTCTTAACTATCATTTCTCACCTTTAATCAATAAACATTATTCTTCTTTAAAGATGACGAAAAATTACTCATATTAAACATAGTAAAAATAAGTATCATTAGTCAAACACTACATTTCTAACCTCTTTACATTCACTAATGCTCTGGAACACAAACAATGATGGACTTTTGTTATGGCTTTGTGTTTCTTTAAAATGTTAACTGGGCCAGACGAGGTGGCTCACGCCTGTAATACCAGCACTCTGGGAGGCCAAGGCAGGTGGATCATCTAAGGTCAGGAGTTCAAGACCAGCCTGGACAATATGGTGAAACCCCATCTCTACTAAAAATACAAAAATTAGGCTGGGCATGGTGGCTCACATCTGTAATCCCAGCACTTTGGGAGGCTGAGGCAGGTGGATCATGAAGTCAGGAGATTGAGACCATCCTGGCCAACATGGTGAAACCCCGTCTCAGCTAAAATAAATAAATTTTTTTTAAATTAGCCAGGTGTGGTGGCATGCGCCTGTGGTCCCAGCTACTGGGGAAGCTGAGGCAGGGGAATCACTTGAACCGGGAGGTGGAGGTTGCAGTGAGCCGAGATCGCGCCACTACACTCCAACCTGGCGACATAGCAAGACTCCATCTGAAAAAACAAAATTAGCTGGACGTGGTGGCTGGTGCCTGTAATCCCAGCTACTCAGGAGGCTGAGGCAGGAATATTAGGAGGCGGAGGTTGCAGTCAGCTGAGATTGCCATACTGCACTCCAGCCTGGGTGACAGAGTGAGACTTTGTCTCAAAAAAATACAATAAAATAAAATGTTAACAAAAATAGATTTTTAATTTGGGAAACACAGTAACTAATGCCATTTGATTTTAAAAAGAATTGTATCTTAATCATTAAGCTAAAAACACAGCAAGAAAACAATGACATGGTCACTTGATGGGTGTCTCAGTCTGCTTTTCACCATCTAGTAAGACACCCTTAAAATAATTCCAGCAGAAAGTCTCACAAATTCATCAACCTCCAAAGCACACGAGGGAAGGTGCTAATACAGTGGACAGCAAGAACCATAATAGCAGCAGAACATGTTATTTAAATTTTTGAAATAATAATACAGAAGTAGGAACCCTTGTGAAATCATGTTCTTGTTTTGGTTAACAAGATCATTAATACTTTATAAACTTCATATATGTGGCATACTGTAAGGTTTAAAGAATAAAATAAGCAAGAAAGCACCCTAAAACACATGACATAAGAAACACCATGCTGGGTGCAGTGGCTCATGCCTGTAATCCCAGCACTTTGGGAGGCTGAAACAGGTGGATCATGAGGTCAGGAGTTCGAGACCAGCCTGGCCAACATGGTGAAACTCTTGTCTCTGCTAAAAATACAAAAGTCCCAGCTACTCAGGAGGCTGAGGCATGAGAATCGCTTGAACCCATGAGGTACAGGTTGTGGTGAGCCGAGTTTGAGCCACTGAACTCCAGCCTGGGCTCTAGGCAAGAGTGAGATTCTGTCTCAAAATTAAAAAAATAAAAATAAAGAAATACTGCATTACAGTAACTTTTTAATTTTATCTTTTGAGATTAAGTCTCATTCTGTCGCCCAGGCTGGAGAGCAATGGTTCCATCTTGGCTCACTGCAACCTCCGCCTCCCGGGTTCAAGTGATTCTCCTGTGTCAGCCTCAGAGTAGCTGGGATTACAGACATGCACCACCACGCCCAGCTAATTTTTGTATTTTTAGTAAAGATGGGGTTTCATTGTGTTGTTCAGGCTGGTCTCGAACTCCTGACTGCATTATGCACCTGTTTCAGCCTCCCAAAGTGCTGGGATTACAGGCGTGAGCCACCACACCCAGTCTACAATAATTTTATAGGCACAAACTTCCTTAAGTTTCAAGCAAGTGAAATTCAACCCTCATTATTCATGAGGACTTCAAGTAAGCCAGTTTACAAACAAGCTCCAGCACTCTACAAATGGCTCTTACTTAGTACAGAGTTCTTAGGATAAATGTGTTTATACTTTGACTGAACAGTCACGTGGATATCATAAAGATGGCGACTGTATATCACTATCCGGTGAAATTGCTTGCCTTCCTTCATGATTTCTTCAGTCTTTTTTTCAGTAGACATAAGATTTTCAAAAAAGTCTGAATCTTCTAAGTATAGCTCATCACCTGAAAAAGGAAAAAAATTGATTTTACTTTTAAATACAAAATTATTTTTCACCATGGCAAAATGGATACAATTTTAATTCTTTCTAGTATTACTGTTTAAATCACTCTGATATATTAGTGACATACCAATCAGTATTTATTTTGATCTATTTCATATGTTTGGAACTGAGATAGCTGTTAAATCAGTATTTCTTTATTGTGGGGTTTTTTTTTTTTTTTTTTTTTTTTTTTTTTTTTTTTTTTTTTTTTTTTTTTTTTTTTTTTTTTTTTTTTTTTTTTTTTTTTTTTTAGTCAAAAAAAAAAAAAAAAAGTTTATTTGTTTTGTGTTTTGAGACAGGGTCTCACTCTGTCACCGTTTGTAGTGTAGAAGCACAATGTTGGCTCACTGCCACCTCCACCTCCCGGGCTTGAGAGATCCTCCCACCTCAGTCTCCTGAGTAGCTGGGACTACAGGCATGCACCACCAGGCCTGGCTAAATCTTGTACATTTTGTAGAGAAGGGGTTTTGCCATGTTGCCCAGGCTTAGATACCATCTTAAACGGTCTCCTCTTTCACCGTTTCTCCCTGAGCCCCACTCCCAACATTTCATCATCCTAAGGGTAGGAAAAGAAAGAAAATGAAAGGTAAGGTGCCCTTTTTCTTTAACTAGAACAGAACTGATCAAAGGTGTTGAGTTCTAATTTCCCTTCTCTTAAGCTGTGTCCTGGGAAGAGAACTGTGAAGAGCTCTCCGGCTATATGGTGACTGTTCCTTTTACCATGCCTCTTTTTTTTTTTTTNTTTTTTTTGAGATGGGAGTCTCGCTCTGTTGCCCAGGCTAGACTGCAGTAGCACAATTGGGGCTCACTGCAACCTCCGCCTCCCGGGCTTGAGCAATTCTCATGCCTCAGGTTCACGAGTAGCTGGGATTACAGGTGCCCACCACCATGCCTGGCTTATTTTTGTATTGTTAGTAGAGACAGGTTTCACCATGTTGACCAGGCTGGTCTCAAACTCCTGACCTCAAATGATTCACCCACCTTGGCCTCCCAAAGTCCTGGGATTACAGGCGTGAGCTACTGCGTCTGCCTCTTTCTTGTGTTTTTAATATCCCCTCACAACTTCCTAGCCAAGAGTTTTCTTTAGGCTCATAAACATCTGTGACTGGAATGTTTTCACTGTGAACTGTAACTTTTATACTAGTTTATGACTCTGTTTATTCAATATTGATATTAAGATTGGCCTTGATATCCACATACTTTTGGTATTTCAAAGTCGGCTATTCTGATCTATTACCTTCAGGTTAATTTAGAGAAATTCCATCAAAACTGCTAAATTTCCCCCCTGTACGTTGAGTAACTTCTTTTATTTTTTATTTTTTTGAGACAGAAAGAATCACACTCTGTTACCCAGGCTGGAGTGCAGTGGCACGATCTTGTCTCACTGCTACCTCCACCTCCTGGGTTCAAGTGATTTCCCTGCCTCAGCCTCCTGAGTAGCAGGGATTACGGGCATGTGCCACCACGCCTGGCTAATGTATATTTTTTGTATGTTTAGTTGAGACAGTTTCACCATGTTGGCCAGGCTAGTCTTAAACTCCTGACCTTAAGTGATCCACCTGCCTTGGCCTCCCAAAGTGCTGGGTGTGAGCCACTGTGCCCGGCCCTGAGTCACAAATCTTATCGCTGTTTGCAGGAACTAAGCAGACAGCCATGACAGCAGCTCTCAAAGCCCTACTCTAAACTGCCACTGCTATGAAAACTCCATCCTGTGCTCACCCCACAGCAACTGACCATCAACAAGCTCCCTAATTCAAATTAGGTGACAACTTATGAGTTCTCATAATTCAAACTTAAAATGCAAAAAAGTGAGAAATTACATGAGAAAGACCTTTGTCAACGTCTAGGAAATATCCTAATATAAATATATGTGTATGTATGACATTATGCAGAATTTCTGGTTATAATAAGTAACATGGATATTTTATAGCCTTTGATCTTCTCTAGCTAATACCCTCTAGACTATAAAACACAGGCTGTAATTCCTGTTTCTGTTGGGCAATACTGCCATGCAGCCCAGGGCACTGAATGTGAATACTAACAAAAGCACTGAGGCTTCACTGATTTACCTGGTAAAATCTGGAGTGTCCCATCAGCAGTTAACAAGGTGATCGGCAACCACCTTTCCAGTCCTTCTGATGCACGATCCAAGCAAAATCTGTGCAAGTCAGAGACAGAGGCAAAGTTTGCAAGTCTTCTCACTTCGTAGAACTGTGGGGGTGCCAACCAAATTTCTTTTGATAAGAAACTTTCAGTCGCCTCTGATGGAGATGACCACTGTGAAAGACAAAGGCAGGGCTTCCTAAGATTTATGCCATAGACAGTGTGAGGCTTGAGCTAAAGAGACCAGTACCTAAAGTAGAATTGAAAGTGTAAAATGAATTCCTTAATGTGCCCTGTGAGATCCCTCCGACAACATGACAGGATTCGGTGAAGAAAGCTGGGCTGATCCTCTTAAGAGGTTACTTATCAGGACACTGATCCTCAGAACTAGTAAAGAAAATAGGGCAGACACCTGAGGCTTGACCTGGGACAGCTGTTCAGCTAAAAGGTGAGAGATGCAGAGAGGACAAGGTGGTTCTGGTCACAGCTGAAAGAAGAAAGACTCTGAAGGGCATACTCATCACAGTAGATTGAGAATGTGGTGCCCGTTCATTCCTCCAGGAAATGAGTATTTGGCTAGATCCTGAGGATATGATGATGGACACCACAAAGCTCTCGTAGGCCCTACGGGGACTTCGGCAACCAAAATGCTCTGTGATATATGCCATGTGGTACAACAGTGGTGAAGCATCAGGAGCAACAGCAGCTTTCAGGAAGCCAGCAGGCATGACTCAGCCTACAGTTGACAGAGTAATAACTTGGTAGGGTTTCAGCCAGGCAGTGTTTGCCCAGTGTGGTGGCTTCATTCTACAACCTCCTCTTCTTCCTGAGCCTACCTTCCATAGACAGTTAGATAAAGAGCTGATTCAATGGATATGGAATAACCTCAAAGGGTTGTTCTTTAGTTGGTTTACTAAATATCCACTTATACACCTAGGGGAAACTGATTCTCACCCACAACCCCTGGGATTTGGAATTGATTTCTGCTTTGGATGACTGTAGGTCAAAGGTTTGCAAGCTTGTATTGCTTAAATATTGACTGAGAAGCCCGTGAAGCCTTCACATTCCCAGGGCCCTGGTATGCACCCAGCAATCTAAGAGTTCAGCAAGTCCCCTAATCATCCTGCGGTTGGCCAAAACTGCATTTGAAAAACAGAGCTCTGGGCCTCAAAGGACCACCCAGTCTCTCTCCGTTATTTCCAAGGCAACCATACGAGTTCAGTGATAACAACGAAGACAAAGGGTTAAATGGCAGGCATCAACCCACTTAATCCAGCCTGTTTAGGTTAGTCCAGACCACAGGTTACAATACCTTATCACTTACTGGTTACTTCTTACTAGCAAAGCACTGTTTCAAATGCAATGCTTTACTGCTGAGTGCAGTGGCTCACACCTGTAATTTCAGCCACCTGGGAGACTGTGGTGGGAGGCCAGTCCTACCACGGCCAGGGTTACTGCTTAAAGGGAATTTCCAGCCTGCAACCCAGGGAGCAAGCGTCTAATCAGAGCCCGGGATTTTCACTGGCTTGAGACACAGCTTGAAGTTTGGGAAGCCCACACAGCAGAATTTGGGAAGCAGAGTACAGAAGTCTCCCTTTAGGCAAGACGAATACTTTTCCAGATCCCTAGTGGATGCCTGAAGCTAAGGAAGTGTTGAGCCTTATACCAACTATGCCCTTCCTACACAAACACACCTATGATAAAGTTTGACTGAAAAATTAGGCCCAGTGAGAGATTAACAATAATTTATAATAAACTAGAACAATGATAACAATCCCTGTAATAAAAGTTAGTGAATGTGGTCTCTCTCTCTCTCTAAATATCTTAATATTTTCAGACCTTGGTTGACTGAGGGTAACTGAAATCATGAAAAGAGAAACCAAGGATAAAGCTGTACCTGGGAGGAAAGACCTACAGAGTAGAGCTCCAGAACTCTGTGTAGGACGCCTTTGAATCTCTGCTGAACACTTAATCTATGCATGCATAAGGTGAAACCATATGAGACCAGGAAAGAATGAGGCCTCTTTTTTTTCCCTATTATTATTATTTTACTTACCACTATACGCACAAGGAAGGAACGATTTCTGAAGAAAGAACAATTACCTGAGAGCTTTAAGATTAAACTCCCAGAGCTCACCTGGGGCCAAGGATTACTGGAATTCCTTCCAATCACAGTGCAGAGATCATGTTGAGAATAAGCAGCACTCGAGTAGACCTCATAAGGGTTACACACAGGAGCGCAGCTAATGGCCAGGTGCAGTGGCTCATGTCTGTAATCCCACCACTTTGGGAGGCAGAGGCGGGCTGATCACATGAGGTCAGGAGTTCAAGACCAGCCTGACCAACATGGTAAAACCCCATCTCTTCCAAAAATACAAAAATTAGCCAGGCATGGTGGTGCATGCCTGTAATCACAGCCACTCGGGAGGCTAAGGCACGAGAATCACTTGAACCAGGGAGGCAGAGGTTGTAGTGTGCCGAGACTGCACCACTGCACTCCAGCCTGGGTGAAAGAGTGAGACTCTGTCTCAAAAAA